GCCCCCCCCCCCCCCCCCCCCCCGCCTCATACGCTTATGTTCGTATGCATATGCAAAGGCCTATACAGAAATCTTACTGGAAGTTACAATTTAATTCCTGGCGATTTATGATTTTTCATTTTAAATGGACAAGTTCTGATTCAAAATGTTGATGTAATTGTGTTCAACGTTAGCTACTCTGCTATTCAACGAAATGTACAATTCAATTCTAATAATTTACTACAATTGTCCGTGAATAAAATTTCGATTGGGGCAATCACACTTCAAATTCAATACAAATTTTAGAGTTTTTCTTTGAGCTTACTATCTATTCCATGCAGTTCTTTAACACGCGTTCAATTTGAAAATTTCAGGAATTCCATCTATTTTCTGGTTAAAAATCCCTCTTGTGAAAGCGTCAACCTTCAAATTCGTTCAGGGTTTATAATAATTGTTCTTCAATTCGCCAGTGGAATTTCGGCACACCAAGCCGTGTCAAAATGAATATTAGTTTAGAGAACTCCAACGGTAAAGATAATTTGACCAACTTGAATTAGCATCATCGACACCTTCATCTGTTTCTAAAATGAAAATAATTAAATATTTTATATCAGGTGGTATTAAATGTAACTTATTGGCTTGAGTGCGCACGAGGCAATGGTTCCAGACCAAGGCTACTACCAACGATATACGTTAAATAGGTTCACACTGTCAGCCACGAGTTCAAACTATTCCTTCGTGTGCACCAGAGGCACCGGAATATCGATAATTGGGGGGGGGGGGGGCAGATATTCATATATTCGTGTTCTGCCAAATTAATTTCTTTTGAAATCGATTGTTTTTACAGTCTGTGAACACGAATAATATATGAATATCTGCCCTCGCAATTATCGATATTCCGGCGCCTCTGGTGTGCACTCAAGGGTGTTCAGGTATTTTTTATGCTCAAGTAAAAGCAAGTTAAGAATGTCATTTCAAGTGTTGTTTACAAAGCAGTCATAGAACGTGAAATTTCATTGCATATATACAGGGTGTATCAAAAAAGGCGCAACCTCGGAATTTCCCAAGAAATCGACATTGTTTTAAAGACAAAAGATTTTAGGCGCTTGGGAATTTAAAATAGCATAACTGTCAAAATTACTGCACACGCGAGTGCATAAAGCAAAATTTATGCATTTATTTAATGCACAACAACAGTAATATGATCTTTAGCAATTCTATTTCAATTCCTAGGGGCCTAAAATCTTTTATGCTTAAGAAATGCAAAGTGATTTCTTAGGAAATTTCGAGGTTGCGTTTTTTTTTATACACCCTGTATATACAGGGTGTATAAAAAAAAACGCAACCTCGGAATTTCCCAAGAAATCGACATTGTTTTAAAGACAAAAGATTTTAGGCGCCTGGGAATTTAAAATAGCATAAC